TGCATGAGCCCATCTTTCAACTCCAAGGAAAGACAAAAAGGAACAGTCTAGATTTCCAGGAGCTTGGGTTTGAGCTTATCAAAAGGGAAGTTCAGTGGTTGAAAGTGGCCCTCCCTTCTTTTCCCAAGGCTGTGGACTAATTCTTGGGTCAATGTGAAGTCTCAATGCTACTTTGTCTGGGCCAGATCCATCAGATAACGCTAATCCCTGTAAGGGGCTGTGATATGATAAACAGATTGATTCAAACTCCAAAACAAATACGTCTGACATCCTGTGTCAATGAATTCAAGGTCAAGAACCTGACCTTTGGGACACATTGCAAGGACTAGAACTACATGTATAAGCTGGGAAGAAAACTGTTTTTGTTGTTTTTATCTTTACAAATCTATCAAGTTGCAACTCTTAAATGTAACATTTAGTGATATTAACAGTCATACAAGTTTCTTGAATTGATAGTCGTTTGTATAGAATCTACAGATCTAAAGATCATAACTCCTTTGGAGAGGACATCAAAGCCTTGATCATGCGCATGTGAAAGAAGCCATCACAGTTGTTGATATGAGTCTGTCCTGCTGGTGTGTGCTGGCCAAAACATTGGTTTTATAATCACTATTTAATGCCCTATCTTCTGCCAAATAGTATAGTGTCATTGATTTTATTTCCCTTTGGCATGTGGACAAGAAGCCAGATGGTACCACTTGAACTTACACAAAAGCTGTGCCAAAGTAAATGAGGATGTGTGGTAAATCCAAACAACCACTTACTTTTGTATCAACTAAGGTATGTGACATCAGACATGATTTGGCAGTTAGTCACAGGCACAAGTTCATCAGTACAGGGTTTTCTTTTGTTAACTGTACCGGATGTTCATTTCAATATCCTATTAAGATATGCCAATCTATTTTCCAGCCAGTCTGTTGAACTTATCATCCTGTGAGATAAAAAGCTTCTTTGATGGGAAAAGAAAACCAGATCTTGAACTAATGGAGTATGATAGTAGAGGTCAGGCATCTGACCTAGAGGATATTGGGACATTACAAAAATGCCCTTTGCATGACAGTACTGTTCCCCTTTGCCAGTGCACATGTAACCAAGTGTTAGGTGGATTCAATGCTGCCCCAAGGCACACGTCTGCACATGGCTTTCCATGGTTGAATGCCAATTTATTTTTACCGTCAGCCTTGAAATAGAACTGTCAGCCTTGTAGTGTCACACTTGTAGCTGGGTCGGGCTGTTTGTTATACCAGCATCAAGTGAATCACATTAACAAGAAAAAATTGTGTTTTTTCTGGCAGAAAACGAAACAGTTTTTGGCAGTCTTGTCCATTCAAAGGAATGGTGTACTTGGGCTGTAAATACGCGTGTGTGAAATTTGGAGAAAAAGATAATCATTTCATTCTTCATGCAGTTGCCATCAAATGTAAGTATATATGCAGTATTGTTCAAGTCTCCCATCGTGTGTTTAATTAACATGTATTTTGAGCAAGACTTATGCACATAACATTGCTAGAAATATTAAGTGCTGTTCAAAAATTTGTCATGGTAAGATATATTCTGCGGTTTTACTTCTTGTATTAAAAGGAATGGTAGAAAATGATGCAAAATGATATGACCTATCCAGACCTTTCTGGTATGGAAAAACCCTGTAACATTTATTTGTTGTGACTGGGAAGCAGATTATGGGTGGGGCTGCTGTGACTACAGCTCTTTGGCTCTTTTTGTCCACAGCGACTTGTTCTATTAATAATTTGGCTTGGGAACAGCCTCTGTACTGCCCGCCATGAAATACTTCCTGATAGCATGTCTGGATTTATGGAGCCGGTTGGTCCCTGGTTTGTGTGTGCAGGAGAGAGAAATAGTTTTATCAGAATAGACACTGCTGTTAGGCAAGGACAGCTAGTGACAGACATGAACAGTTGCAACAACCCTGGTGGGTGTCTCTGCTTTCATGGGAAGGGTGGTCAGCCTTTGGGTACTTTACTGGGCCAAACCAATTGGATCAATTATCTCCCATAATGCTTCAGCTGTATGAAAGAGAAAATAAATAGATAGCAGCACTATTGCAACTGATGTAAGCAGGTTCTATTCTTGAAAAGTATTAGTCAGAAAACATAGAGTCTCTATGAATTTTTAATGAAATAGTTGTGTGATTTCTATAACACTATACCATAGCATAAGGTGGGTAAAGGCTTCTGTAGAAGTGCATTCTAATAATGGCAAAAACAGGACTCAAAAGTGCATTTTCTCAAATAAAGAAATGTGGACCTGGTAAAATGTTTTAGATAGGGAGACTAACTTTCACTCCTGTAAAAACATGAACAGACAAAGACAATAAACAAAGTTGGATCCTAGCATCATTGCTAAGCCCTTGTCTGGGAAAGAAAATGCTGCAGTAAAGAATCAAGAACACATACCGGTGTATTATGAGCATGTTTGCATGAAAACTGGGCCACTAGACAATTCTCTTTCCTGACAGCTAATTTCGGCTACTCCAATGAATGAGCAGGGTCCCAGCCATTATGGAACTGCTGTCTACCACACAACAGTATTTTGTTGAACAACAATTGAGTTGACTCAGCCATCCTGGGTGGTCTTCTGCTCATTATGTTTACTATGAATACAGACTCAACCCCATAATTAACAACAATAACAAGTCATGAAAGCATTAGTAGATATCTATTACAACTACCATGGTCGGTGAACATGGCAAAGTTGAGGCGAATGTCATTGCATTCAATAACACCTATAAAGCCAGAAGTTACTCTTGTGTTTGTTTCTAGTGAAATGCACAAAAAATGTCTGATGTACAGTAGCAGCTAAATCCAGCTGTTACATCATAGTTATTCTACACATTTGCCTATTATTCTTTCTGGCTATTGAAGGTTGGTACACATGTACATGTAAGTGGTAATTGGCATGCACCTGTCTGCTGAGCTCCTTAGATACAGTTCTCCTTCTCTTGTTTCGTTAATTAAGCATAGACCCTAGGGTTATGGTAACCATTTTTACTAGGAGGCTGTTCTACTATTTATCTGACTTTCCTGTGTAGAACTCAGTTGATAGTGTCCCATAGATGTACATGTATTATTGTGGGAAGTTATAGTAGTAATTTCTCCTCATAATTTTCTGGCTTTCTAAATAAATTTTTATCACAAGTGCATGACTACAGTAACCTTGTTGTAAGGAAAGTGGTTTCGCTGTCACATTTTTCGTTTGTCCTTGTACGATTTTTAGCATTTTTAAGCAGGCAAGAATCTAATTTATTCCAAGACACCCTTTTTTGTCAGAAGATACCCGGTAACTGAATTTTGAACAATATACATGCACTACAATCCCAAGAATTACTTCAGTTTGCGTGACTGGGCCCTAAGCTAAGAACCCAATTGGCAGCTTGTTCCATTTCCACGTGTGATTTCAAAACAAAACCTTAAAAGTTAAAGATCCAAGTTTTCCTCCTGTCCCTCTCCCACACATTCTTTTCCTGCTCCCCAGTACCATCAGGCTGAGGTCACCGGGAGGTCAACCATTCAGCCTCCCTTCTTGTAGGTTTATTTGGGGGAGTACTGTGGAAGAACCCAGGAAACCTAATGCAGCATCTGGCCATTACCTGAAATCAAAACAATATGCAGGCACAACTAACAGGTCAGGGGACCCAGACCTGCCTCCTACATCATTGGTTTTGTATACTTTCACTCATACAAAGGTCTTACTTCTTCCCTTGCTTCGCCCACCTGTCTGTAAGTACATCCTGTAACACTCAATCAGCTTCATACTCAAGTTCAGGACTATACTACTCAGACATATCTTTGTACTGGTGTAGGTCTGGGTTATCAACTTGTATCATAAGTCTGGAGATGGAGGTCTGTGTATTCACAAAGCTTGAGGGTGGAGGCATACCACTGGGTAGTTTCCCCACATGACAGCTGCCACCTTGACAGCCAGGGGAAAGATAAGCTATCATTGATCTGAAGATTTTCCACCTGTACCCTTCCTTCACTGGGAGAGAGCCAGTATACAGCTGCATGCTAGGGTAGCCAGTTAGTAGACTGGGGTGTCCTTCATTGTATCCAATCCAGTCATTCTTGCCCTGAGGAAGGTGGCAGCAGGAGTACCAAAGTGTTGGCAGGTAAATCCTTTCAGTTGTGCAACAAAGAACGGTACTATCCATCTAATCTTCAAGCAGATCCTATGATGGTAAGACAGTATCCATTGTCCTGTTTGCTAATGGTCACACCTCCGGCCAATGGACACTGTCTTGCCACGATAGGATCTGCTTGGAGATATTATCCATCCTACTAGTGTCACTGTTGAAATGATGGATGTATGATTTTGTTTTTTTGTCTTTTCTTTAGTTTACATTAACTTGATTGCATTTAAGCTTGTTCTCGCTGTGCTACCACCATTCCTTCAACCCAGCTCTTTATGCAGTCAGGTCAACAGTACATGAGTTTTACAACCTTTGTATGAAGGAAATCAAAGTCAGTGCTCAACCAACCTTTACTTGTAGACTTTCCCTCTGCTGCTATCCCAAACAATACAAAGAATGGTTTGTATGGGACTGTACTCAAGACACCTCACTTAAATTTACTTTGCAGTTTCCTTTATGGTTATTGCTGTCATAAATGACTGAAATATATACAAGATCACAAGGTGAGGCTTGTTGGGTCAGGTATATAAATAGGAGTGAGTACAGGAGCCCCTGATAAGATGGTGCCCAGGCTAAACTTGATCAAGTTTATTGTGTGTTGCGGACAGGTGGCCTGTGATACTCTGGTAGGTATTAGAATGGAAGGGTTAGAGAAATGCAGAGAGAAATGCAGAGGAAAATTTTGGTCACCTGGATGCCAGACCCATACTATCATGCTAGGCCCAGAGTTAGCTATCATGCTGGGGGAAGAGGGGGGGGGGGTCTGACTGAGGGGGGCTGTGATATTATTTCCTTGGGGGCATGTTGACCCTGAAGCGAGTAATACACGAGTTACCGGTTTCGCGGCGCCATTTTGGGTCAGAGGTCACCCGGAGCAACCCAAGCCGGAAGACGCTGTTACAGCTACGCGCGGATCGGTCTAAGCTTGTTCTCGTCTTGTTTTACCCGTTAATCGTGATTTTTCCGCCGCTACGTATATCTACCGAGTGCATAAGGTATGTAAAGACCTTGATACTGTTTTAGGTAGGTAAAAATAGATCGTAGATAGCGTGTTTACTGCGTTCTTTTTGTTGATAAATGTGGACCGGGGAG